TATTTACTCTGGATTGAATGCTAGAACAAGGATTTATTTACTCTGGATTGAAAGCTAGAACAAGGATGAATTTACTCTGGATTGAATGCTAGAACAAGGATTAATTTACTCTGGATTGAAAGTTTTGACTTTACTGGTATGACTTTATGACCTTGGAGCTCCTCCAGTTTGTATTTTACTAGTACGACTTTGTGACTTCGTATCTCCTCCATTTTTGATTTCACTGGTACGACTTTGCGACCTCATAGCTCCTAGTTTTGAAATTAATAGTACGACTTTGTGACCTCGTAGCATCCTTCCTTATTTTTTTATTGGTACAACTTTGTTACCTCGTAGCTCATAGTATTGATTTTAGTTTTGCTTAAACTTTTATGACTTTTTTACCTCGTAGGTCCTCCAGTTTTAATTTTACTAGTACGAATTTATGACCTCGTAGCTTCTCCATTTTTGATTTTCTGGTACAACTTTGTGACCTCGTAGCTCCTCCAGTTTTAATTTTACTAGTACGACTATGTGACCTAGTAGCCCATAGTTGTTATTTTAGTGGTACGACTTTGTGACCTCATAGCTCCTAGTTTTGAATTTAATGGTATGACTTTGTGACCTCGTAGATCCTTCCTTGTTTTTTTATTGGTACGACTTTGTTACCTCGTAGCTCATAGTATTGATTTTAGTTTTGCTTTAACTATTACGACTTTTTTACCTCGTAAGTCTTCCAGTTTTAATTTTACTAGTTCGAATTTGTGACCTCGTAGCTTCTCCATTTTTGATTTTCTGGTACAACTTTGTGACCTCGTAGCTCCTCCAGTTTTTGATATTTTGGTACGACTTTGTGACCTCTCAGATCCTCCAGTTTTAATTTTACTAGTACGACTTTGTGACCTCATAGCTACTCCAGTTTTGTTTTTACTAGTACGACTTTGTGACCTCTCAGATCCTCCAGTTTTAATTTTAATTGCACGACTTGGTGACCTAGTAGCCCATAGTTGTTATTTTAGTGGTAAGACTTTGTGACCTTGCAGTTCATGGTTTTGATTTTACCTAT